CAATGAGCAATGAAGGATTAGTTCTTACTAATACCACTATAATGTAATTAGAGTCACTAGTGTTCAGAAAAGACCCAGAAGAAGCCAAGCCCCCTGACATTAAGCCCTTCCGTCAAACACTTCCTCTTGGTGAAGTTCTTCTGCCCAGAGAGACTGTCTCGTCCTTGGTGGCCAAGTGTAACTGCTGCTCACGCCATGCACTCCCTGCTACATGCTACAGTCTGACTGTGATTCAGAATGTTATTCTCAGCATTGACTCTTGCGGACATTAAATCCACATCGACTCATGAGGGCTGTTTATCATTGTACTCAGGAATTGGACATTAATGGCATTGTCCAAGCAAATTAATCAATTGTTGTCAATCTACACACGTTTATTAAATATTTACTAAGAAAAAAGCACTGAGTTGACCACCCTGTGGGAATATAAAGAAATAAAAGAGGGCTCCTGTCTCAAAGAGGTTGTAATCCACTTGGGGAGATGAGGTATGAATAAGAGAAAGGTCAAATTACACATAATATAAACAATATAAATATAGAAGAAATGCCAAAGTAGTTAAAAATAGTTGAAGATTGCAAACCTGCAACATCATATAATTGCCCTGTCATGTATTTAAGTAAAAAATATGTAAGTTATAAAATATTCAACTCTTTTCTTTTAGGAAAAATGTGTTCTGCATGCCTCTATCTATGCTGTAGGTATGTTTTTGTCTAAACAAATATATGGAACATTATGCAAGAGAATCTAAGAGTAACTTGGAATAATACTCATTTTCTTTATATTTCATTAATAATAATTTTTAAAATGAACACATACAGGGTCCAGCAGAAGTAACGCCTGCTTGAGTGTGGTTGGTAGGATAATAATATGGGTGTAATGATTTGTAGTTTTAATTTGACCATTTCACCTAAAATGCTATATGGTATGCTTGGTGTGATATTGTTATGTTACAGAATTACACACCCATGAATTTGTAATAAAAGAGGGGCGTTATTTGTGCTGCATCCTGTATATTTAATTACTTAACCAATACAAAGAAGCTAAGTGGCAGGCACTGTTCTTGACATATATTATCTCATTTAATGTTTACAATGACCCTGGTATGTACTGTTATTATCCCCTGTAGCCCAAGGACACACAGCCAGTAAGTGGCAAAGTTTTCAATGGGTGTTGTCTGGTTTTAGGGAAAGTGGCATCAGAGAATAGCATATGACTCGCCTCGACTGTCAAATCACAGAATCCTGCGGCGTAAATTATTAAGACATGACCCATATTTTCTCTGCCTGGAAATATTTTGGTTGTGGGGTGGGCATGAGTGTCTTAGACTGAATAAATGCTAGAATTGCTTACTGAGGGACTCGTGGACTCTGTCTTTGTGTATCTTTTATGAAGGAGAGGGGAAATTCTCTTTAGGTTATTTTGGTCAGAAATGTTTAGAGTAGAGAAATCAGTCTTGTTAACTTGAGGTTTTATGTATCTTCGGATTAGGGTCCCTTTGCACAGGATGGGATCATTATGAAGAACTAACTCCCAGAAACAAGACTTACTGATTATCATAAAATGTGCCTTGAGGAGCAAAGCACAAGCAACAAAAGCAAAAATCAACAAGTGAGACTACATCAAACTAAGCTTCTGCACAGCAAAAGAAGCAATCAGCAAAATGAAAAGGTACACTGCTGAAAGGGAGAAAATTCTGCAAGCCACATATCTGACAAGGGGTTAATATCCAAAATAAATAAGAAATTCCAACAATTCAATAGCAAAAAAGGGAACCAATCCAATTAAAAAATGAGCGGATGACTTGAATAGACATTTTTCCAAAGAAACTTAGAGATGGCCAACAAGTACACAAAAAAGTACTCAACATTACTAATCATCAGGGAAATGCAAATCAAAACCACAAGGTGGTATTATCTCACACCTATTAGAATGGCTACTATGAAAAAGAGAGAGGGAGAGAGAGAGAAAAAACAAATGCTGACAAGGATGTGAAGAAAAGGAAACCTTGGTGCACTGTTGGTGAGAATGCAAATAGGTGCAGCCACTAGGAAAAGAACGTGGAGATTCCTAAAAAAAAAAAATAGAACAGGGCTACCATATGACCCAGGAGAGAGAGAGATCTTCACTCACATGTTAAGTAGGACATTATTCACAATAGCCAAGACATGGACTCAACCTAAATGTCTAATGACAGATAAGTAGATTAAAAATGCAGGAAACACATCTATATCTATAGATGTATATATACATACATACAAGGGAATATTATCAGCCATAGAAAAGAAGAAAATCCTGCCATTTTTGAAACCATGGATGGACTTTTAGGGCATTATGCTAAGTGAAAGAGAGATATTGTATGATCTCACTTACATGTGTAATGAAAAACATAGAACTCATAGGAACAGAAAGTAAAAAGGTGGTAGCCAGGGGCTGAAATGTAGGAGAAATGGTGAGATGTTAGTCAAAAGGTACAGATTTTCACTTGTAAGATGAACACACAAGTTCTGGGGATCTAATTGTACAGCATGGTGACTATAATTAACAATACTATGTCATATACTTGAAAGTTGCTATGAAAGTAGAGCTTTAATGTTCTCATCATAACAACAGTAAAATAATTACATGAAGTAAAGGATATGTTAATTAACCTTATTTCAGTGAACATTTTGCAATATACACATGTCAAATCATCACAATGTACACCTTACTTATTCAATGTAAACTTAGGTGGGGAACAAAGCAGAATATACAAGTTGTTTTTTTAGTTTTGTTTTTGTTTTTTAAATCTAGGTCCTCGTTACTGCTTTGAAAAAATCATTGCTGCGTGTTATAGTCTGACTGTTACAGTCTGTTGTCCCTGGGTATTCAGGGAAAAGAGAAAGAATGGAAAATGTGAGCAAGTCAAAGGTTCCCAGTGATGAGAACTGTGCTTGATTTCTCCCTCCTGTTTCCCCAATGGTGACTATATGTTTAGTCAATTTACATTCTTTTCAAAGACTTCAAATTATGTTTGAAAGCCATTGAGGGAACTTCAGCTCCTGAGGCCCAAGGCACATTCTTTTGAATAATGAGAATGATCCTAAAGCGATCCAAAATCCTGTCTGGCGAACAGGAGGAGGGGTAAAACAGAAAGGTAATGAGGCTATTCCCATGCAACTCCTTAACCGCCCCGCTGGTGCTTCCCGAAGGAGCGAGCCCATCACGCAGCACGCGGAGCTGTGGCAGCACAGTGCCTGGCTTCCCAGCGCACCTCCTCTGAACAACGTATTGGCTATGTTTGCAACATTGGTTGAAAAACCTCCATCTTGTCACTTCTTAGTCACAGCACCATGTCAAGGTAAATTAAGAAAACACCTTTCATGACATCATTCTTTATCACATACACAAGAAAAACAATGTCATGTTTTATGTCATATATAAAATGTCATGTCTCTACAGATGGCCCAAGGGCATATGGACAGATGCTCAGCATCACCAGCCATCAGTGAGATGCAAATTAGAACCACACTGAGATACCACTGCACACTGGTCAGAGAGGCCGTCGTAAACAAATCAAAGAACAACAAGTGGTGGAGAGGATGTGGAGAAAAGGGAACCCTAGTGCACTGTTGGTGGGAATGCAGCCGCTGTGGAAAACAGTATGGAATTTCCACAAAAACTAAAAATGGAGCTGCCTTTTGACCCAGCATTTCCACTGCTGGGAGTATACCCTAAGAACCCCAAATTACCAATTCAAAAGAACTAATGCACCTGGATGTTCATAGCACCGCTATTTTTAATAGCCAGGTGCTGGAAACAGCCCAAGGGCCCATCGGTAAACGAATGGATCAAAAAACTGTGGTACATTTACACAGTGGAATTGTATTCAGCAGACAGAAGTTCTACCTTTCACAAGAGCATGGATGGAACTGGAGGATACGATTCTAAGTGAAGTAAGCCAGTCAGTGAAAGACAAATACCACATGATTTTACCTATGAGAAGAACCTAATGAACAATAATAAACTAACGAACAAAATAGAACCACAGGCGTGGCAACATGGAACAGACTAAGAGTGACCAGAGCGGAGGAGGGAGGGACATAATGGCGGAAAGAAGGGGAAGAGACTAGTTAAAGAACGTGGATGAATGACCCATGGACACGGACAGCAGCGTGGGGATTGAAGGTGGGAGCAGAGGGTGCGCTGGGTGGAGGAGGGCAAAAGGGGGAAACTTGGGTCAACTGTAATAGAATAACAACAAAAATAAAAGATACTTTAGGCAAAAAAAAAAAAAAAAAGTCATACCTCAGAGATAAGATTAGCATCCTGTGATCAGAAGGACCAGAGATATGCACAACATGAACTAGATAAAGGGAATAAAAAATGGATGGCAGTCTTGGATGCCTTATATCAATACTTAACCTGGTTTAAAAAACTAAAGTTTTGTGTTTATCACACAATCATATGAGCTACAGTCCTGTTCAGGCATATATACATTCCATTGTATCAAGCCATACGCACTTCCAAGGAATCCACACTGAAGGACATGTCTAATACTTGCATGATTAACATGTAGGCTTTTCAGGGGAGCTTTTGGGGGTCAAAGACAGAAAATAGTCATTGTACTAGAAACCCCTATACTATGTTTTTCTTTTTTAAAATTGCAATTCCAACAGAACCATTTTATCCAGGATTTGTCAGGTGCTATCTACTCAAAATGACCATCAGGAGCTGCTATCACCAGAAATGGCTAAGGATGCTTGGATTTTGATGACAAACAGCATGAATGTATCCATATTTAGGGTGCAATAAGAGTTCATTAATGAGATCATGAGTATGTCGTGAGCAATGCAACCATTAGTCAAAACAAAATTCTACTTAATTGGCCAAAAGATAAACAGGAGGGGTCATCAGCCCCTGGCCAGGGTATATAAAGGGCCACAACGGGAGGAAGACATTCACACCCGACAACACCCAGCTCCTCTCGCCAGGCCCGCCCCACTCAGCCCCACACGCCACCATGACCGGCTCCTGCTGCGGCTCCACCTGCTCCTCCATCTGTGGGGGAGGCTGCTGCCAGCCCTGCTGCCAGCCCTGCTGCCAGCCCTGCTGCTGCCGCGACCCCTGCTGCTGCCGCCCCTGCAGCTGCCAGACCACCGTGTGCCGCCCCGTGACCTGCGTGCCCCGCTGCACGCGCCCCATCTGTGAGCCCTGCCGCCGCCCCATCTGCTGTGACCCCTGCGGCCTGCAGGAGGGCTGCTGCCGCCCCATCGCCTGCTGCCCCACGTCCTGCACGGCCGTGGTCTGCCGCCCCTGCTGCTGGGCCTCCACCTGCTGCCAGCCCATCTGCGTGCAGGCGCCCTGCTGCCGGCCCCCCTGCTGCCAGCCTGCCCCCTGCCGCACCACCTGCAGGACCTCCCCCTGCTGCTGCTGCTGAATGGTACACCAACTGCCTAGAGCAAGCCATCAACCTTCTGTAAAAGTGATACTCCCATTTCTCTACCCAGCAAACATTCCCTAAGCCATTAAGACGTCTCAAGTCTGCCAGCAGTTACATGGAAACCCAGACTCATCCATTAAGACTTGGGCTGTTCTCAAGTCTTTGTAATAGCAGCAACTTCTTTCTTGCCATCTTATATCTTACGTCTTAGTGGCATGTTTGTTTTCTAATAAACTTTTGATCTTTGGCCTAGCAACCACAGCTTTGGTTTTACTTATTCATTCTATTTTTTAAATTAAATTTTAACATAACAAAAATATGCAGATTGACTACCGCCTGCAAGTTACACACAGTATTGTATATAAAATAAATTAAAATTGACTAAAAAATGTTCCCCTTTTCAAGAAACTTCCAGGAACGTAAATCAAATTGACAATAACTCAACTAAAAATTAGAATACAGAAAAATAAAAGTATAGTACACTGTATGGTATCAACAAAGAAGTCAATGTTGACTGGGGAGCAAAAGAAAGATGGAAAAGAGAAGGCAGCACATTATAAGGGTTAAGATTTTGGGGTGCAGATCTAAGGGAAGATGGTATCCCTTTATGCATACAGGGATAGACTGGGTGTTCAGAAGATAGTTGGCTGCAAACACCGGATATATGTAGAATAATAGTGGAAGGTAAATTTGGAAAATTTGTGTGCTTTGAATATTAATTAAATGAGTATACCCTGAAAGCAATAAGCACTAAGGAGCTGTTGAAAGCCCTGAGTGGCAGGAATAGCATGACAGGAGTTAGGCACTGGGGTGATTCCTATGGTTGCTGCTTATAAAAACAGAAGGCCAAAGGCTAGACATAAAAGGACTATACAGAAACTGATTGAAAGCTGAACTAAGACGATGGCCACACAACAAAGAAGATACAAATGGTATGGAAGGCCTAAAAACCCTGAAGGAATATTAACTAATACAAACTGAGAAACAAGAAACAATTAGGAAGCAAATGTGACTATTACAGTTCGAGAGGAAACTCTTTTGGTCAGTAGACACCTGAAAGAATTTTAACATATTTATGCTTACTGAGTGTGTGTTTAAAATCTCTGCTCCACAGTATTCCACTGATATTCACATTCTTGAGCTATTATATTTTTTAAATAGGAGCCAAAGAATTTTACTAACACTAATTGATCCTGGAAAGCAGCATGGTATGAAATAAAATGAACTGATCTAGGAGTGAAGGATAACAGTTTTATACCCAGCGCTTCTGGCTATGTACTGGCTGTATGAATGGAAAAAGTCGATAACCTCTCCAAAATGCAGGCATTCCTAGACTCAAGAGTATTCTAACATCAACTGATGCTCAGAGGAAATTAAAAGTAGTTCATTGCATCACATCAATGTTTCAATTTAGAACTCTTGAGACTGAATGCATCTATATTTGACTATTTTTCTTGATTAATGCCTCATATCAATACTATACTGATTTGTGCACTAGAGCAAGGTACGAGATAGGTTAGATCTTGCTTTCTGCATAACCCGTTAGTGCCTCGTGCATAATAGGATTTAATAAATATGCTATTTATTTTTCAAAATGGTGTTAGTTTCTGTTGCTATAAAATTCAATGGTTGGAGAAGATGATTTATTAAAGTTTTGATCTCCAATAGGTAACAATTCCATGTAACCATTTTTCAACTTCATACCTACAGTCATAGTTATCATATGGCATGAAGATCTTTATTGACACTGGCATGAATCACTTTTTAATTCTATCCCTGCACTAACCAACACCTCTACCTCATAAAAGCTAGATGCTTCTATTCATGTCAGAAGGAAGGAATAAACCTACCACAGCAGCAATAATACATTTTTTTGGCCACAGCTTTTTTTTTTCATTTCCCCCATGTAATTGTAAACATCAAATGGAAAATCACAGTCTTTCTTTTAGCAACCACCAGAAGTTGTTTCAATTTTTATTTTGCTAACATTTATTTTAATCTCTTTGATTGAACAATATTTGATCACTCATCTGCCTTATAAGCCCTGTGATACAGAAAAAAAAGTGTTTTCAAGTTCCTGCTTTTTCTTTTCTTTTATTGGTTTTAAACTGTTGTGCTCTTTGGTCTGATATCCTTGCATAAGCCGCAGGATGTAGTTACATAAAATGGTGTACACTGAAATGAATCCCACCTTTGAGAAATAAATACTGCCCAGATAATCTGTATAGCAGTGCTTTTCATGTTTCATAGAAATATAAATTACACTTAAGGTTTTTGTGATTTTTTCCAAATTACTGGATATGAATGTTAGCCCTTATTTTAAATTTGTGATAACAAAATATCCCCAGTAAATTGGAATGGAACAGTTCTGTTCCATATGTCCTCCTGAGCAATGAGGGTTTCCTCAAGGCCAAATGCATGACGTTCAGGAGAGCACATAGAAATGGGAAAGATCCAATTTCTGGAAATATCTATAAATTTTTATGAATGTGGAGTTTATCAGAATTTCTATCTGAGTGATTATAGATGCTATAATCTTATTAATCTAAAAAAATAAAGACAGCTTTAAATGAAGGACATGGTTAATAATAACAGTAAATGGTTAATAATTTTTTCCGAAGACCTAAGTCTTGGTGAATATGACCCCACAATTGCATCATCTCATGAGTGAGAGGCACTTTGGCAGGTGAAAATTACAGCATTATTTGGAAACAAAGCATCAACAACTCTACCAAGGATCACCAAATACCTCTGGTGAATACTAGCTGAGCAATAAGGAAAAACCAATTTGGATGTGTATTTAAAAGAACTCAGTATTCGAATAATCAGAGGGCCCTGGGGAAGCTTCTTTAAAGAGTAACAAGATAAAAATGCTCTCTGTCACAAACACAGAAACTGGCCAAGGCCTATAAAAGGCCCCAGTGGGACAAGCATCCCTAACGCAGAAACACCCCGAAGTGACCCAACTCTCAGCCCAGCCCCTGACACCATGGCCTGCTGCACCACCAGCTTCTGTGGATTTCCCAGCTGCTCCTGTGGGCCCTGTGGGCCCTGTGGCCCCAGCTGCTGCCAGCCAACCTGCTGCCAGACCGGCTGCTGTGGGACGGGGGGCGGCGCCGGCTGCGGCCTGGGCTGCGGCCTGGGAGGCGGCTGTGGAGCCATGAGCTGCCGCACCAGGTGGTGCCGCCCTGACTGCCGCCTGGAGGGCACCTGCGTGCCCCCCTGCTGCGTGGTGAGCTGCACGCCCCCCACCTGCTGCCAGCTGCACCACGCCCAGGCCTCCTGCTGCCGCCCCTCCTACTGCGGACAGTCCAGCTGCCGCCCCGCCTGCTGCTGCTACTGCTGCTAGCCCGCCTGCCAAAAGCCAGCTTGCTGGTTGTCAATGGACCAGGACACAGTCTCTGAACAATCTGCTTCCTCAACAACCCCGGACCACTAACAAGCTCTTAGACTTCCGTCTGAGTTTCTGCTACAGGGGCCACCAAGCCAATGGGTTCTGTTTGATTCCAGTCTGCAAGGAATACCGTGACACTCCACAGTGGACACAGAAGTGCTGGGAACTCACCTGACGATCTTCAAATCGCTCTGGATATGCTATTCCTGATTTTCCTGCGGGGTTGAAAACTGCTGCCATATTGTGGATTTTATCCTTGAGAACTGTCCACAAGTCTAATTTTCCCCTGCTCTGTGATCTGTTTTGAGCTTCTGTTGATGTTTAAAAATGCCCCACATTAAAGGCACTGGGTTATAGCTAAGTGGCATTCCTCAGTGTTGAAAACCTCCTTCAGACGGGAATCCTGAGAAGATGGCCCATCCAGACTAACTGCTGTAGAGTCCCAACAAGCTTCTGAGTTCCCATACTCATAACCCAGCTTGCGACCTCTTGTCACATGGCTACATAATTTCATTAAGATGTAAATTAATTTATAATAGAAGATCAAAAATATTTCATAGACCTGGATATCAACAGAAGTCTTACAATGTGAAAAGAGTACATAATATATTACTGTAAATATCACCTGAAATACTTCAACAGCTCATTGGGTTTGGGGTTTAATAAAAATTTTCATTCTTTGATGAATAAGTCATTGTTGGAGAGTTCTTTGGCACTTGTTATTGATACTAGGGCACTGGGATTTTTAAATCTCAATAAATGTGGCAGAGCACTATGGTTTTTCATTACTGTGCTTTTAATAATGATCTTTAAAAGGTGGTTTTCCATTGTTTATTCATGAAATGGTCCAATATTCTGCAACCAAAACATATGATGAAAAGAATACATCAGTATTTATAAACTATTTCTTGAGGTCCTCAATGTACAGCTGATGGGCTAGGAGCTGCAGAAGATCAGCTTTAGAAAAAGGAATCCTATGTCACTGAGCTTCTTGAGGGCATTGCCAAATCCATTTATTTCATTCCTATATAATCCTGTACACAATTCTGTCTATCAGCAAGGGCATAAAAAGAATAATACATGATGAGAAGAACGGTAAACCCAAGATTTTACAATAATATGTATGATGTAAAGGCATCCTGAGTTCTAGACCCTGCCCTTTAACTAACAATCCATGAATTCTTGAGTAATCCCTTCATCTGCCTGGGCATCTATTTCTAACCTGCAAAATGAGAGAATGGAGTTTTTCTTCTTATAATGTCCCTTCCAGGCATAGGGCACTAAGTCATTTCCTAAACAAGTGACACACTGACAATTGGTCACTTCGGATGTCCAAAGAAGAAAAAATATTCAATAGTCAAATATTGTTGCGTATGTTACCACTATTTTATATATAAAAAGCACATTAGAATGTTAAAGGGCCCTGACTGGCCTGGCTCAGCTGGTTGAATGTCGTCCCACAAAGCAAAAGGTCACTAGTTCGATTCCTGACCAGGGCACATGCCTGTGTTGTGGCCCAGTCCATGACTGGGGCGTGTGCGAGAGGCAAATGATCGATATTTCTCTCACACATCGATGTTTCTCTCCTTCTCTTTCTCCCTCACTTCCCCTATCTCTAAAAATAAACAAATACAATTTTTAAAAAAAAAATTAAAGGAACTGAGATGTCCTGTAAAACGGAACGTCTGTAACCATCACTCCCAAACTGATTTAACCAGGGTATCCTCATTCAGGTATCACCAGCTAACACCCTGTAACACCAGTGTTCCTCAAAACGTACTTCACGAAATGACAAAAGGGAATTTCAACTGATGTTTTTATAACACCTATACAATTCTCTTCTGTAGTGTGAAGTAGGAAATAAACATCCATTACAGGGATAGATACAAATGAACATGATGCGGGCGTACACTATCCCCATTTTTATCCAATCTCCAGAGAGTGGTCTAAAATGAAACAAGGATGAAATGAAAGACATATAATGGAGTTTCCATTATAACAAATAAAATCATACGGATCTTAAAATCAAAGTGGTGAGCCAACAGCTGAGGGTGCCGGGAATGAGAAGTGATAACTTAAAGGGTATTAGGCATCCCTCTCGGGAATGGAAAGAAGTTGAAATGGGAGAGAGAAGGTGGCGGCACGCGTTCTGAATGCAGCCGATGCCCTTCAATGGTATACTTGGCAATGGTAATTGATGTTCTGAGAATTTCACCCCAATTTTTAAAAAAATCAAAGGCATGGGGTCCTACGAGCACAACGTTATAGGAATTAGAAAAAGGACACAGCTCAAGGAATACACAGCTTGTTGAGCCTACAGCTCTTTGTGTGCAGGGTAAGGTTCCCCTTCTGAGGGGACAGAGCCTCCCATCAAAGCACAACCTATGCATTCCTTCCTATACAACACCTCCAACAGGTGGTCAATACTCTGTTCTGCTCCTCTACCACTCTTTTGTCTCCCTCCAGGTTGGGATGATTTAGACTGGATGCACCTTTTACTTAGAAGGGCTTAAGCTCATAAGGACTGGGAAGAGCCAGGTCAGAATTCAGGAGAGAAGAGAATGATCTTGTTACTTGGTTTAGGATCAAAAGGTGCGGGTGTTCATTTGGTTGGTGTACCAGCCATGTCTTGCCTCTCAGGAATGTAAGTAAGACAGACGCAACTGACGCAGAGAACCGATTAAATGGAGTTTCAGAAATTAGAGGAACACCCAAAACGTATAACTAGAAAAATGGAACCCTGACATCTTAAAGAAAAATAATTTAATACATTAGTATCTCTAAACAGAAGGCAAAAATTTGAGAATAACAGAGAAACACCTTCTCCCTTGTATGGTACTGAAATGGTCTGGGCACCATAACTTAAATGAAGTAATTAGAACCAAGGAGAATGGGCACAGTCATTTTAAAAACCTTGAAATGTAAAGGTACTGGTCATTATTTTCCCCAAAGACGACCACCAATAGGTGTATCCAGCATTTAAAAAGGATAAAAAACTCTACACAGGGGGAGATCACAAATGATTAAACTTCTCACTCCATTTGTATGAAAACCAATCAGGAAGAAATGGATTTAAGTGGTAGGACAAAAAAAAAATTTATTTTCTTTTTTTCTTTAGGGGAGGTAGAAGAATGTTCAGATTAGTCTTCCTTCTGTGGCAGAGAGGTGGAATTCTCAAATGTTAAGTATCATATGTTATGTGATGGTTACTTTTTTTCTAGCAAGTAGATTGGGCTAAGGGATAAGCAGATAGCAGCTAAAACATTATTTCTGGCTGTGCCTGTGGGGCTGTTTTTATTGCAGAAGAGATTAGTATTTGGTCTGCAGACTGAGGGGAAAAAGGCGGCTCGCCCTCACCAATGCAGCCAGACAGCAACAAATCCAGTGAGGGCCTGAGTAAAACAGAAAAGGCAAAGGAGGGGAAATGCGCTCTCCTGCTCGAGCTGAGGCTTCCACCCGCTCTCGCCCTCGGTCGGATCAGTGTCTGGTGGGACTTCTCAGCCCCTCCCTCACAATAAACAAATATATTTATTTATACTTATATTAAAATATACGCAGGGGTGGACAAAAGTAGGTTTACAGTTATTCGTATGGAAAAAGATATAAGGGTTATGATTCTTACAATAGCTTTATTAACTGAAAAGAAGTTCACTCACAACTGAAAACTTACTTTTGCCCACTCCTGTGGTTATATATCCTGGACGGGTTTTCTCGTTTGTTTGTTTGTTTGTTTGTTTGTTTTTATCCTCTTGATTCTGTTTCTCTGGAGAACACTGTCTGAAATATCTTACTTTTAATAATTCTCCAAGGGCAACCAAAGACCAGAGAAACATGAAAATTGAGTTCAATTTTGCACTGAGGAAAATGTTGGAAACAATGCCATAGTAAAAAAGCACAGAAACGGGAATATGATATATAATGGTACCATCTCCAGTGTCCTTATCAATATGTATTTCAACTCCTCAAACATCTGAGCTTTGTGCAAGGAAACATAAATCGTTTTGGTATCAAGGACTCTGCTGAATTTAGGAATGAAATAGATAGCTCCTGAGATTGTTGTACCAACAAATCCACATATTTCCAACCTTCTAGGGGGAAATGTTAGCTAAGCAATCAGTGATACAGGTTTGCAAAAGGAGAAGGAAAAAAAATCACGAAGAACTACACCTTTTAATTTACACTTAATGTGGGATTTGAAAGCGTCTTAGTTCTAACTTGGAAAGAGTTATGATCTGAACTCAAAGCTGACGTTTCTGGAGAAGCAGAACTCATGCTTGGCATTCGGTTCCAACCCTGGAAGCGGCGTTTCACCTGCTATTTCTCTGTAACAGCGCGCATGCTCCACGGAGGCCAGGCTTCCCTGCACTGCAGTGACACAAAACCTCCATCTTCACCCCATCAGTTGCCTCATTCGGAAAAATAAATGTTCCAGCTCATTGGATTAGTCCCCAACATCTAGAGTAAACTGCACAGTGTCCACCTAACACAAGACAGTATGCCATGTGCTCCAGTCTTAAAGTATTAAGAGTGTGATTTTTATGCAGTTAAAAATGTTTATTTTCATCACAAGAAAAAATGTAACTCTGTGTGGTGATGGATGTTAACTAGCTTACTGTGGTGATCATTTCACAAATATACATGTATCAAATGATTATGCTGTACACTTGAAACTAATAAATGTTACCTGTCGGTTGTACCTCGATTTTAAGAAAAGGACATTTAAATCTATAGAATAAATCTGTTACAAAAAAAGAATATCTTAAAATCAAAGATTTGATGAAGTCACAAGTCAAGTAAATTAACTTTTAGCAATTAAGTTTTTCTTGAAGTATGCTTATTATATAGTTTAAAAAAATTAAATCTCCAGAGAAATCTCTAATAAACTGTGATGTTACTCACCCTAAACTCTGTCTTTCTTCCCTTTACTCTCCAAAAGCCTGTAAAAAAAAAAAAGGGCAAATATTCACACCTTGTCTTCACCATTTGATTTTTCTCTAGAACACCTGCTTACAGGGAAAAGGAAGCTGACTAATGGTTTAAAGAGCTGAGCCTGAGGTCAGATAGCATGGGTTCAAATTTCAGATTTTCCATTTGTTAACGTAAACTTGGGTGAATGACTTATATCTGTTTGTGGCTCAGTTTCCTCACGTGGAAGAAGGAAGAGCAATGATACCTACCCCATAGGATTGCTGTGAAAATTAAATGAATAAACACAAACGAAGTACTCACTACTGTGTGGACACAAAAACCAGTGCTTCAGAAATGTTTTCAGTAACAATTCCTCCACATGTCCCAGCTCCCAGTGAAAGCATCCCTCTCTGGCCAGCTGAACCACTCTGCTTCTCTGGCAAAGTGAAGGCAAGGAAGGTAGAGGAGCATCAGCTACGGACACTGGAGGCCAGTTGATGAGCAATAAACTGTCATGTGAGACCCCAGAGCTCAATTATTAGGGTCAGCATTCAGTAATATTGACACATCTTAAAGATGAGGCACAAGTCAATTATTCTTTGGGCAATGAGCAAATTGTAACAAACATAGGAAATGAGGGGTTAGGTAGTCATTGAATGCTAATGACTACTTGGCTGTGGTAAAGAATCCTAATTGAACACCAAATGAAATCAACTTTTAAAGGCTTTCAGAAGGTGGAACAAATCACTCAGGGACAGGGCAATTATTATTCAGAAACAAGTTGTTCAAACACAAATAAGGAAGAGACTGTGGGCATTACGTAAATAATAGCTGGCCAAGGCTTATAAAAGGCCAAATGTGGGAGTTCTCGCCAAAACTAAAAAATTTCTCCAAGCAACCCAACTCGCAACCCAGCCCCCGACACCATGGCCTCCTGCACCACCAGCTTCTGTGGATTTCCCAGCTGCTCCTGTGGGACCGGTGGCTCTAGCTGCTGCCAGCCAACCTGCAGCCAGACCGGCTGCTGCCAGACCGGCTGCTGCCAGACCGGCTGCTGCCAGACCAGCTGCGGTGGGACGGGGTGCGGGGCCGGCTGCGGCCTGGGCTGCGGCCAGGCGGGTGGCTGTGGAGCCATGAGCTGCCGCACCAGGTGGTGCCGCCCTGACTGCCGCCTGGAGGGCACCTGCGTGCCCCCCTGCTGCGTGGTGAGCTGCACGCCCCCCACCTGCTGCCAGCTGCACCACGCCCAGGCCTCCTGCTGCCGCCCCTCCTACTGCGGACAGTCCAGCTGCCGCCCCGCCTGCTGCTGCTACTGCTGTGAGCCCACCTGCTGTGAGCCCACCTGCTAAAAAGCCAAGTGGCTGATTTTCAACCTGCAAGTTTCAACTTTCAACTCAGTCCCTGAACTAATTACCTCTTCAACCACCCCTGGACCACTATCAAGTCCTCCAACTTTCATAGGGCTTTTGCTGTGGAGATTACCAAATATTTGAGACTCACAGACCTCTCTTCCTCACAGACCTTGATCTCCCCACGGAGGCTGTCAAAATACAAATTTGACTCAAGAGAGGGGAAAACCGATTGGCAGTGGCATTGACCTTCGGCAAGTATTTGATCCCACGCTCCAGGGCTCAGTGCTGCTGAGGATGTGGAAGAACCACCTGTACTTCTCAGATACATTCACCTCCTATATTCCACCATCCTGCGAATTGTACTTCCCATGACAGGAGACCATACCAAGGTCTAATAAATTACATCTATTTGGTGCAGCAAACATACCTTTTTTTTTCTTTATTGAGTGTGCTCTTGGTGTCTATTTCCTAGAAAGTCATATAAAAGATTTTAATCTGGTTTTGCTATACTACACTGCTTTTCTTAAACAATGTTAGGAAATTTGATCAGATCCAGTAGGGGTTATTTCCCATAAAAAGATCCCGCAAATGCAGTTCTAGGGCCTCAGAAATGGCACAGCTGTATGACCATATCCTGACCTCATAAAATGCTTTCACAACCAGAAAGCGACCGAAGTCAGGACCTGAATCCAGCACCAGAATGAATTATTTTTTCATATTTGCTAGAGGAATGCTCTTTCAGGCACTCTTCAAACAATGGTAATGTATGCTAATAAACTACACTTTTCTATTTACATGCGGTCTTATTACCATAGGTAGTAGGCTAATTATTACTAAAAAGGGAAGCAAAAGAAATTGGACATTAAGCTTAATAAAGTGGGGAGCATGCGTCTGTTTGCTTCACCAGGAAGCTACAGCTTCACATTCCATGGAATTCCAGCATTTCTCCACCAAGGAGATAAGCACTCCTTCCTTTCCACCTCCAGTAGCAGATTGCTGCAGGGCACAGGGGGAAGTGTTTTACTATCGAGGCCTATTAGTCTAACTGGGAGGTGGACCTGTCAAAGCCCACAAAAACTTGGGGAGTTTAATTGGTTATTTTGAAAAAGCACCTGGTCCATCCCAAACCTAAACCAATATAATTCCAGGGGTACAAAGAACCCCTCACTCTCTCCTCCCCGCCTCCCACCCCCTGGTACTGCACTCACCCCATACATTTGTGTGTTCTCTCTAGCAAGGGAGTACACAACCATATTTGGAACATGTCTGCCAATGATACATCTGATATGGGGTTAATTTCCAAAGTATATAAATAACTTAAACAATTCAACACCAGAAAGAGAAATAATACAATTTAAAAATGGGCAAAGGACCTGAATGGACACTTTTCCAAAGATGGCATACAGATGGCCCATTGACATATTGAGAAAATGCTCAACATCACTCATCATCAGAGAGGTGCAAATTAAAACCACAATGAGATATCATCTCATACCTGCCAGAATAGCTGTCATCAATAAATCAATAAACAAGTGCTGGTGAGGATGTGAGGAAAAGGAAGTGCCTGTGCACTCTTGGCGGAACACCAGCTTGAAAGAATATATGTACCCCTATGTTCACTGCAGTATTATTTACAATAGCCAAGATCTAGACACAGTGCCCAGCAGTAGATGAGTGGATTAAAAAAAGCTGTAGTGCATTTACACAATGGAATACTATGTGGCCCTATAAAAGAAGGAAATCTTACCTTTTGCAACAGTATGAATGGACCTGGAGATTATTATGCAAAGTGAAATAAGCCAGTCAGAGAAAGACAAATACCATATGGTCTCACTTATATGTGAGATCTAATGAACAAAATAAACTGATGGACAAAATGGAAACAGAAACAGAGATACATGGAACAGACTGACAGCTGTCAGAGGGGCGGGCGGAGCAGGGACTGGATGAGGGAAGGTGAAGGGATTGGCCGAAGAATATATACACATAACACTGCGATACAGACAACAGCGTGGCGATGACCAGAGGGAAGGGGGGCAGGGGCTGGGCGAAGGTGGGCAAAGCGGGTATGGGGGTACCTGTCAGAGTGCCAACAATAAAACTAAAGTGAAAAAAGATTTAAAAAGAATATTACTTTGTTAAAATTACAATGCTTTATTCATTCAAGTTTTAATAAAGATCAAGTAATTAGAAAGCATAAATAAAGGATAACATGTAAGCAAAGAATCAATTTCCCTGACATGGCACCAAGAGACCTTATCCAATCCAGAAAACACCCCTTGAACAACAGAACAGAAATGAAGACACATTTGTCCTCTTGCCCCTTTGATTCTAACTACTGACTATTTTCAGGTATCACTACCTAACAGCTACTGCTGAGGAAAAAAAAATGGACAAACGACTTTGGTAAAATTTGGCTGTTTATCATCACCATACACTGCTGATCACTCATTCCCTCTGTAATTCGACAAGCACATACTGAGCATCTACATTCAAGATAGTGCAGAAGGTACAACGTAGGAAATGATGGTGAACCAGACATGGGCAGATCGGGCCCTTAAGGAATGAACGATCTGGTAGAGCAATTACACAATTTTATCCCTGGAGGCATCTGAGAGATCATCTCATCTTACAGGTGAATGAACCAGTGTTCAGAGGAATTAAGTGACTTTTCTGAGGTTTAGTCACTTAATGGTAGAACCAGTCTGAGAAGCCTATTTAGTTTAATTAATTTAACTCTTAATTTAAGAGTTCAGCCCACAACATCATGTGACCACCTCTAATCATCTAACTCTGAACCTGTTTATCATAGAAATGGACACATGCCTATATGATGATATTAACCAATGTCACTCCAATAAGTGTAATATAAATAAATAAAGTCACTTTCACTTTAAAATTCTATGATTTTTAAAATTCAAAAGCACAAACTAAAAACAATTGAGCACTTCTCAGTAGAGGATGACTGAATAAAATGTGATATGATTGTACTCCGAAATATTGCATAGCCATTTAAAAAATGAGTAGTAATATGTATAGAATAAGCCAACAAATTGGATGACCTAGATGAAATGGATAATTCCTATCAAAACTGAACCATGAAGAAATTGAAATCTGAACAGATCTATAGCAAATAAGGAGATTGAATCAGTAGTAATCAACCTCCAAGAGAGAAAATCCCAGTATCAGAAGGCTTCACTGATGAATTCTACCAAAAACTAAAAGAAAAATTAAAACCAATCCTCCTTAAACTCTTCCAAAAAATGAAAGACGGGGGAACACTTCCGAACTCATCCTATGAGGCCAGCATTATCCCGATACCAAAGTCAGGTAGGCACTACAAGAAAAGAAAATTACAGACCAACATCCCTAATTAATATTGATGCAATATTCCATGACAAAACACTGTAAAACAGAATTCAAAGGCACATTAAAAGGATATACACCATGCCCAAGTAAGATTTTCAACATATGAAAATCCATCGATGCTTTCATCACATAGCAGAATGAGGCAAGTTGGCGGGGGCGGCGGGGAGGGGCGAAACGTGTATCTCAAGAGATGCAGAGAAAACATCGGATGAGATTCATCAGCCTTTCATGATTAAAAAATTCAGCAAACTAGGAATAGAAGGAAACTACCTCAGCATAATAAAAACCATAAGTAAAAAGCCCACACTGATGTCATACTCAATGGTGAAAGACTAAAAGTGTTTCCTCTAAGGCAACGATCAGAGGAAGGATGCCCACAGCCACCTATCCTATTTTTCATAGTATTGGAAGTCCTATCGAGAGCAATTAGGCAAGAAAAAGAAATAAAAAGTGTCTAAACCAGACAGAATAAAGTAAAACCTTCTCTATTTGCAGATGATATAATGTTATAAATAGAAAACCCAAAAGATGTCGCCAAAAACAAACCAAAAAAAAGTAAGAACTAATCAAAGTATTCAGTAAAGTTTCAGGATACAAAATCAATTTACAAAGTCAGTTGCATTTCTACACATTGTCAACAATCTATCAGAAAGAGAAATTAAGAAAATAATCCCATTTACTATGGCATCAAAAGAATAAAATACTTAGGAATAAATTCAATCAAGGAAGTGAAGAATTTGTACACTGAAAACTGTAAGACATTGATTAAATAAATTGAAGAAAACTGAAATAAATGGAAAGCTATTCCATGCCCATAGCTTAAAAGAATTATAGTTATTAGAATGTCCATACTAACTAAAGCAACCTAAAGGTTCAATACAATTCCTATCTAAATTCCAATGGTGTTTTTCACAGAAATAGAAAAAAACAATCCTAAAATTTGTATGGAGCTACAAAAGACCCTAAAGAGCCAAAGAAATCTTTAGAAGGAAGAGCAAAGCTGGAGGGATCACACTTCCTGAATTCAACTATGTTACAAAGCTATAGTAATCAAAATAGTATGATACCAACATAAAGGCAGACACGTAGACAAATAGAATAGAATACAGAGCCTAGAAATAAACTCTTACATATATGGTCAAAGGATTTTCAACAGGTGTCAAGACCATTCAAGGGGAAAGGACAAATGGTGCTGGACAAAATGGATATGCACATGAAAAAAGATTGGACCCTATCTTATATATATAAAATTAAATCAAAGTGAATCAAAGACCTAAATACAAAACATAAAACTCAGAAGAAAACATAGGGGAAAAGCTTCATGACATTGGCTATGGCAATGATTTCTTGGATATGACACCAAAAGCACTGGCAACAAAGTAAAAAATAAACTGAAGTACATCAAAATTAAAACTTTTGTTCATCGAAGGACACTATTAGCAAAATGGAAAGGCAGTCTATGGAATGGGAGAAAATATTTGCAAATCATATATCTGTTAAGGGGTTAATATCCAAAATACATAAAGAACTCCTAACCTCAACAACAACAAAACAAAAGTTGGGCAAATGACATGAAGGGACATTTTTCCAAGAAGATATACAAATGATCAACAAGCACACGAAAAGGTGCTCAATATCACTTATAATAGGGACAATTCAAATCAAAACCACTATGACGTACCACCTCACACCCATGGCCACTCTCAAAAAACCCGAGTGCTGGCAAGAATGTGGAGAAATTGGAACACTTGTGCACTGTTGGTGGGAATGTAAAATAGTGCAACTACTATGAAAAAGCAGTTATTCAAATACTTAAAAATAGAATTACCATATAAAGTAGTAATTCCATTTCTACACATATACCCAAAAGAATTGAAAGCACAAATCTCTTGAGAAGAGATTTGCACATCCATATTCACAGTAGCTGTTGGAGGAGGTAATTCAGAGAAAACGACCGCTGGTTGGGCCAAGAGCTGGACCCAGGGATTCCAAAGATCCTCACTCCTTCCCCTGCCCTTGGAATGTACTCTCTGCCTTCTCTTCCCACAATGGGAGCTGTTTTCAAGGGTGCAGCCGTGAGGGAGCAATGAGTTGTTGAGACCACTTGGATGATGTATGTGACTAAACCCGATTGAAGCCTCCATCTAAACTTTTAAGATTTGGCAGGCAGTTGAAGTGATCTGTTGGTCTTGCTGTCACCCGAAACAAGCCTAATAAGTAGGATCCCTTGCTTTTTAAACCTGCCACCTACCAATATGGAGTGGTCTGTCTCCTTCTTTGGTCTCTCTTTGTCTTTCGTGTATGGGGGCCAGTTTGCAAAGCAAAAGCTGCATTAATCACATAGCCAAAAGGTGGATGCAACCCAACTGTCCATTGATGGATGAATGGATAAACAAGTTGTAGTGTATACATACAATGGAATATTATTCAGCCTTAAGAAGGAAGGAAATTCTGACATATTCTACAACATGGATGACTCATGAGAACATTATGCTAAGTAAAATAAGCCAGATACAAAAAAGAAGACAAATAGTGCTTGGATTCTACTTGTATGAGGTACCAAGAGTGGTCAAATTCATCAAGATGCAAATTAGAATGGTGATTACCAAGGGTTTAGTGGTAGGGATTGGGGAGAATCGGAAAGTTATTTAACGTATATAGATTTTCTGTTTTGCAAGATAAAAAGAATTCACAATGTGAACTTACTTAACATTAGTGAGGTGTACACTTAAATATAGTTAAGATGGCAAGTTTTGTCATATGTATTTTACTACAAGTCAATTGTTTAAAAGTAAATATGTATAGGAGACCCCAACTTTACGGAATTAGAAGCTATATGCATATATATACTTGTCCATGTTTGCACAAATAGGAAGAAAGGTACTGAACAATAGACACCAAGCTTGATATTGATTACCTTCTGGAGTACTAGTTTCGGAAGAGATGTGTGTGTTTTGGGGAAGGGAGGGAAAATATTAACTCTTCTATGTGTGTCTTTGGACTGTTTGAATTGTTAAAATACATACTCATTACTAGCATATACTTTTAATTTAGTAGAGTCAGAAAACAATCTACAAGCCAAAATCATTAAGGGTCTCAGTTGAGAATATGTTCATTGATGGTTAAAGACAAAAATACCCAGTAGAGCTCAGAGGATCCTACAGCTTGCACAGTCTTGATCATAGAAAGGCATACTTTTTTGGATGTTGATGAATCAGGTGAGTGCTCGTGTTTTGATGACACTAATGTTAGTTATTCCAAGTCTAGACAACTTGTTTATGAAATCATGATCCTTATTTGAGTGGCTGCCTATGGAGAAATGTTCAGTTTAGATCAACTTTGCCTGAAGGTTACCAAAGGACATATTCGACAAAGCCAGCCAGGGCAGTGGTTGGCTCAAGTTTCATCTGTCACATGACGAACAAAAAGAGGAGCTGCCGCAATTGGCTTCCATAATGAGCCTTCACTCGATCCGCAGGGCAAAGAAGAAATATAATGAGACTTGATGAGCAATGACCAAAGCAGGCAATGCTATTTATAACTTTCTAAACAACTCGGGTGTTAGCCAATCAGTGACTGTCTTTGCAATTAGTGACAAGGAAAAATGCTAAGTATTGGGAAAATCAGTGTCTCTTGGGACTATATAAAAGGCCAGATGTAGAAGGTGCAGCCAAAACTCATAAACGTATCTTAACAACCCAACTCTCAACCCAACACCTGACACCATGGCCTGCTGCACCACCAGCTTCTGTGGATTTCCCAGCTGCTCCTGTGGGCCCTGTGGCCCCAGCTGCTGCCAGCCAACCTGCTGCCAGACCGGCTGCTGTGGGACGGGGTGCGGCGCTGGCTGCGGCCTGGGCTGCGGCCTGGGCTGCGGCCTGGGCTGCGGCCAGGGCTGCGGCCAGGGCAGTTGCTGTGGAGCCATGAGCTGCCGCACCAGGTGGTGCCGCCCTGACTGCCGCCTGGAGGGCACCTGCCTGCCTCCCTGCTGCGTGGTGAGCTGCACGCCCCCCACCTGCTGCCAGCTGCACCACGCCCAGGCCTCCTGCTGCCGCCCCTCCTACTGCGGACAGTCCAGCTGCCGCCCCGCCTGCTGCTGTTACTGCTGCCAGCCCTCCTGCTGCCAGCCCATCTGTTAAAAAGAAGGCTGCTGATTGCTGAAGAATGAAAGAAGAAACATACGAAAGCTGCCTTGATCTCTGAAGAAATGCTTGACTTTACGTGGATGCTAAGTATCGTGATGTTTCTAAGTCATTCAGAAATAACTAGCCTTAGGACCCTCCTGAATGTGCTGAACTAGCCCACTGAAAACATGTGTCGATCAGAGTGTCAGATCAGTGACATCTCTGTTCCATTCCCTATCTCTTGGTCCCCACACAGTTTTAGACCTGCTTCCTCCTTGAATATCCCCTGTTAATTTCAAATAAAATGCTTGAATGTGCTAAGCAAACTGAGTTATTTTCTTTCTCCTATCTTGAAGCTTGTCTACCTTTAGCTGAAATTCAAGAAGAGTGGATTTGTATTTTGATAATAATCCTAAGGCATAAACATAAAAGTCTAAACCAGAAAAATTAAATACAAATTGCATTATGCTTCCATCCATCAGTTAATAAAATGTTCTGTGTATTAAATAATGTTTGTAGTTATTAAAATACTTACATGCTCTAATCTATTACAATTAGGTATGAACCAATAAGGTTACTTTTTAGCTAAAATTTTCAGGTTGATCAATGCTACAGGATTTTTACCGAGATGAAACCTCCTTCCCTGTAATATACTATGTGTTGTCCTTCACACATGCCCAATATCTAAAAAAAAAAAAATTACTGACTAAGTAGATTTTAAAATATCTACCAGATCCTATCAGACACTATTTTCCAAGAGCATTTAGGTTTTAATTCCTATGCCTTAGCCTATTTATATTCTTCTCACTGCTTCCCAATTTGACCTCTAAGCTTCAACTCCCAACGCTCACCTTCATTACTATAAATGTGTATAAGGTGTATCACTGGTCTAAATGAAAGTAGGATAAACAGCTCTGTAGATACCCAGTGAGTTCCAGCGTCACCATTTGTCAGACACATGCATTAGGAATATGAAACAGCTGTATACTTTGCACTTTGCAATCCAATTTGAAAGATGTTCTCTTAAGAAATTAGCACAAATCTAGACCAAAAATACCTTTTACCACTTAGTTTTCAATTCTTCAGTATCTGTATGCAATACACAAAATACATGACAAAATATCAAAAAAATTAAGACAAGTTTTTTTCTGAGTTATTTACAAGCTTCTACAACTTACCTTTATTATTTAACTAGTAGTAATGCTAGATCACACACAAGATGGTACATTTTGGAGAAGAATAAAATAAATGAAATTAATGGCAGTATATTCTTCAAAATGTCTTAACTCCCAGATGTTTTATTCTGAGCCTTAGTTCAACTATTAAATGTATTGTAGAAAAAATTTTCAGCATTTCCTGGTCTCTTTTGACAATAAGAAGGACTCCTTCATGAGAGGTACTAAGCTTGAAAGTTCTAGTTAATCATCATTAAGTGATACAGGCATCCACGATTCATGCGTTTTACCCCACCCACTAATATCATGTTCAATAAACATTAAGGTACTACCAGAAGCTAAGCACTTTGTTAGATACTTTTATATATACTGTCATTTAGTTCACACAAAAAAAGATTTTTGGCCTGAAACACAAATAATATTTGCACATTTCAAAATGGTTGAAATAAAAGGAACTATAATGGTAATTTGATTTGATGTTGGAGTACATTGGAAACTAAATTATGCATAACAGAAGGTACTCTTTCTGTTCTATGGATGTCCGAATGCCCTAAATTCAAGAGAACTTAATCTATATATCCAGAAGGAAAAAATAATAGTAAAAAATAAAGGAGCACAATTATCTTTAGCCTTAGGAGGCCTGGACAGAGGGCCACGTGGGATAAATACCTCTATAAAGCAAGTGTGTTGATGTGGACTAACATAGGAGGACTCTTTGAAGACGGAAAACCACAAACCTATCCTAAAGGGGAAAAGGCCGATATGAGGAGTCCAAATGAAACTATAAAACAAAGTAATTTCTAACCTGCTACTCACAATGTGTCATAAGTATTTCAATGTAAGCCAATCGCAGGCCCACTGAGGAATGAGTTTAAATAAAAACAGGGAAGATATGTTAAGAATTTTATAAATAGCTGCTGGCCAGGATATATAAAAGGCTCGACATAGAAGTCACCACCAAAACTCCTCCAAGCAGCCCAGCCCCCGACACCATGGCCTGCTGCACCACCAGCTTCTGTGGATTTCCCAGCTGCTCCTGTGGGCCCTGTGGGCCCTGTGGCCCCAGCTGCTGCCAGCCAACCTGCTGCCAGACCGGCTGCTGTGGGACGGGGGGCGGCGCCGGCTGCGGCCTGGGCTGCGGCCTGGGAGGCGGCTGTGGAGCCATGAGCTGCCGCACCAGGTGGTGCCGCCCTGACTGCCGCCTGGAGGGCACCTGCGTGCCCCCCTGCTGCGTGGTGAGCTGCACGCCCCCACCTGCTGCCAGCTGCACCACGCCCAGGCCTCCTGCTGCCGCCCCTCCTACTGCGGACAGTCCAGCTGCCGCCCCGCCTGCTGCTGCTACTGCTGCTAGCCCGCCTGCCAAAAGCCAGCTTGCTGGTTGTCAATGGACCAGGACACAGTCTCTGAACAATCTGCTTCCTCAACAACCCCGGACCACTAACAAGCTCTTAGACTTCCGTCTGAGTTTCTGCTACAGGGGCCACCAAGCCAATGGGTTCTGTTTGATTCCAGTCTGCAAGGAATACCGTGACACTCCACAGTGGACACGGAAGTGCTGGGAACTCACCTGACGATCTTCAAATCGCTCTGGATATGCTATTCCTGATTTTCCTGCGGGGTTGAAAACTGCTGCCATATTGTGGATTTTATCCTTGAGAACTGTCCACAAGTCTAATTTTCCCCTGCTCTATGATCTGTTTTGAGCTACTGTTTACCTAAAAAAACGTCCAACATCAAAGCCACCAAGTTATAACTAAGTGACATTCCTCAGATGTTACCAGAGAGAATGGAAGCTCTTCACCCCAACATTCAACTTCTAAGAAGTAGACTAGTCTTCTCCATCCCTTTTTGGAGGGGAATCATAATGATCTTTCCTGTTGGCTATTTTAATTATATCTGTGTTACAGTGTCTTCTGTCATTTCTTAATAAATGTTATTTACTAGGCAAAAAAAAAATCATGGTCATTGTTTCCACTTGAACAGAAAATGAGTGAATTGATTATAGTTCAAAAATGCCCACGTGTAAGAAGTACACTTGTTCCTTTTTAAAAGAGACTGAAGCCATATATAGTGTATTCGTTCAATAAAAATTTATTGACCACCACTTCTAAAGCAGGGACTATGGAAATAAGAAAGATGAAGAATTAATTCTCATCCTTGAACTCGTTACTATCCAGAAAGAAAAGGAATGTGGGTGAAAATAGCTACGTACAACGTGCTGTTGGTAGAAAAAAGGTAGATGTTGGTAGACCACAATGCCTCAATGGTACCACTTACAAGAGATTTAGCCACATGAGAGATGCATTGGCAACTCCAAAAGCTTAAGAAAAGGATGTTAAACAATTACACCCGAGACAAAGAGAGAGAGATTTCTTGCTTCAGAAAGGGAGTGAGGAGAAAAAAGCAGGGGAGATCCCATTGGAAGTCATGAATATTATTTCTCAGTGATCCCTCAACGTTAAGCTGCCGCACACAGTCTCTGGGATGGTCAACTTTCCTGCAAAAACCAGCAAAGGAGCTGAGTTTCATGTCTGGGTTGGTTCAAGGGAAGATGGAGAGAGCCCAGGAGCCAAGCAGAGAGAGGAGAAGGCCTAGACAGTAGTGCCCTGGAAACGCTCAGAAATGTTGGAGAGGCTTTGGATCGACCCTGCGGTGGAAAGTAATATCTTAGTTATGTAAATTGCAAAGAAGACAGAAGGATCAGAAACGGGATTTCAAAAACAAAGGCATCACCTTGAGACCAGCAAGGGCTATGCTTGGGACAGTATTAGGGAGGACTTCGCAAGGGAGGTAACCTTTGAAGTGGGCCTTGAAGGTCATTCTTAATGGAACAAAATGAATGAGTAAAAAAGAGCCCAACCTATTATAATGGCTAAAATCCAAAGCAATGACAACAACAAATGGCAGCAAAATGTTGGTGGAGCAACAGGAACTTTCACTCATTGCTGGAAGGAAAGCAAAACAGTACAGGCGCTTTGGAAGACAGTGCAGCTGTTCCTTCAAAGCTAAACATAGGCTCACCATACAATGCAGCGATTGTGCTCCTCAGTATTTACCCAAACAAGCTGAAAACTTACATCCATGCAAACACCTGCACATGAATGTTTGTAGCAGCTTTGTTCATAATTGCCAAAACTTGGCAGCAACCAAAATGTTCCCCAAAAGGTGAATGAATAAACAAGCCTTGGTACATCTATTCAATAGGATGCTATCCTATGATAAAGAGAAATGATTTATCAAAACACAAAGGGAACCACAAAATGGTAGGAAGGGCCAAGTAGAAACCCGGGATGGTCGCCTTGTTACATGAATAGTAAACCAGAAATGATGCTGTATCTGCGGGGGAATTCTGAAAATGAGCACCGTGATCAGAGACATGAATAGAGCCAGGGTGGTGATATCTACCACCTCCCCACTTACATATTTGTTTGTCCTATGGAAAGAGTAGACAAGCCTTTTAAATTATTTATTATATATTATAAGAATAGTAATTTATTATTATTTTAAACTAATTTAGGTACAAGGGAGTAGCTTTTTAAAATAAGAATGGTAACTATTTTCTTTCTTATTCATAGTTATTGAATTTATTGGGGTGACACTGGTTAATAAAATTATATAACCTTCAGGTGTACAATTCTATAATACATCATGTGTTCAGTGCACTGTGTGTTCGTCACCTCACAGGCGGAGGGTCTTTAATGAAGCAAACCAACAGGGTCCCTGGTACTGGTATGGAGCTTTTGACTGAAAAATGCCTTTTTCTCCATCTCAGTTTGCAGGGACAATCAGGACTAGTTTGCTTTTACCTGGTATGACTAATAGTGATTTTCCGAGTATTGC